CTCTCTCTCTCTCTCTCTCTCTCTCTCTCTCTCTCTCTCTCTCTCTCTCTCTCTCTCTCTCTCTTTGGGCCTAGAAAGAAAGATATTAGGTACAATGTTCAAAAGGCGGAGGCACCTGCTTAGGAGGACTGCTGGGGGTCCAGCCACCTACCGCCCTTCTCTCTTTCTCAAACACAATCAATCGCAGTGGGGAATTGTCCTCTCTCTCTCTCTCCAAACACACACACATCAGCACATCATCCTCATTCTCTCTCTAGGATGTACAAGAGGGGTTTTGGGGGACTAAAATGTCCCCCCAAACCCTTTTCCCTCTTAATAGGGGGGTAACTCTCTATAAAGAAAAAAAAAAGGAAAGAAAACAAAACTGCCCCTGGCCGAGGGCATTTTTCAGCCCTTGGCCAAGTTGCTCCATAGCAACCCTAGGCACCCACCTTGAGGCACCTGCCTAAGCAGGCGCCTAGGAGCAAGGATGCCCAAGGCGCCTGCATAGGCGTTTTAGCCTCCTGGCCGCAGCTGAAGTTTTGAACAATAGATTAAGTAGATTGGGAATTAATTAAGTTCGGATGTAGGAGTTATAGAGGGTTCTGGTTCCTACAGAAATTAGGATAGTTGGGTTTTGGAAGCCTTTGGTAGGGGTGGATTATAGGAGGCATGCAAAAGGTAGGAGTGAGGATAGGTCTATGGGAAGGATTATGACTAGGGTAATAAGTGAAGTTACGTTTCAAGGTTTTCAGGTAGTCTACCCTGATATGAAAGGAAAGCTAGGGTTTAAACTTAGGTTGAAGGCTTCAGAGGGTAAATATATGGTTCGCATAGCAACTGAGCTAGTTTAGATAAGGTTTGGAGATGTGTAGCGGAATTAGTTGTAGTGAATGGGTGAGGAATTTAGTTGCAGTGAAACTTAGATGGGGATGTGCCACACGAGAAGGGAAAGACGAGGGCCATGAATGAGGGCTCTAGAGAATCTGCCCACAACAAAAAAAAAAAGGGTTTGAAACTTTAGGGGGAGACCACCAATCAGAAGCTGGAGTCGTCTAATCACTCTCTCTACAAAAAGAATTTTGCAAAAAGAGTTAAGGAATCTCTCACCAAATCCTGGCTTCCCACTACAACTGAAAACTGAATATCATTACTCAACTTGAATTTAACTGATCATAGGCCTACATGGGTATTCACTAAGGTTTTCTCTTTTCATTTCATTTAACCTGTGGACTCAAGCTATCTCTACTTTCCTAAACTTTTTCTAGTTTCTGTTCAAATTAGGTAACTAGTTCCCTCGTAGTTTTAAGAAAATACACCCTTGCAAAAAATGAAAAAAAACCTTCTGGACTCTAAAAACAAAATTAGGAAAATAACTTAACTTGCAAACATAACATGCAAATTAGGAAAGAAACAAGTCATTAACAGTTTAAAGACTCAATTTTCCAATCGATGGGGCCCACGATCTTCTAGAAGAGTGACCTTTCATAATATTGCCAAGGTTCCCTATCATAAGGCTGCTAAGACACAATAAAAGCAAGAAATAAACCTAACACATTAAGGAAGATCTACAATCATCAGCTATCCCTGGTGACGTTTTGGAGGCGGATGTTTGTTCATTGAGGGTGTCCAATTGTTGCCACCTATCCTTCTACAAACCTCATTGTTCATCTGAATGATGATTCACAATGGCTAAGAAATATGCATTCCCAATTTACAACATTTGGGCCGGCTGTTGATTCCTTTGAGTGTCATTCCGAGCCTAGTTGGGTATGGGAGGCTCCAAGCTGCAACAATGTTGCTAGGGGTTCAAGGATAGATGAGGTCTCTAATAGGTCTTTCTTTATGGGAAATTTATTTTTGAGGATTGGCACCGATCAACAGTTTGGAGAAGAAAGAGGCTATTCAGCTTGAAACGGGAGAACTGGTGGTAAGATCTGTCAATAGATGCACTAAAGGTGTTCGTCATAAGTTGATTTTGGTTTGATAGCCTGAAGATGGTTATGTGGCAGTGGGGGCTCAAGTATCAATGGCTCGCAGTCAGCATGGAGGGCATGTCTCCCATAAAGGGGTAATATCGTCCTAAGCTGGGATGGAGGGAGCTACAATGGAGAATATGAAGATGGGGATGCACCAAGTGATATACCAAAATGAAGGTCAGTTGGGGTAAAGTGAGGATCGCGTGGTTCCACATGGGATCGACCATAAGACTCAAATTGCATTCACATCACTTTAAAATTGGTAGGAATAGGAAAACATAGATGGCACTTGAAGAAAATTCATAGAAGCATTTGAATAATACTGCCAACATATCACAACAGTATTTCCACTATGCAATAAATAAGAAGAATTTGAAACTTTGTGCTACCCTAACAATCTACGAATTCTTCTCTTTGCCTCCAAACTTACATTGAAATAATATTGAACTCACTGACATTCCACGAGTTGTTCTAGTTTTTTAACAAGTAACCTTACATTGAATGGGCGGAAGAGTGTACATCAAGTTGCATATGCCAAAGAATACAGACAAACTGCTCATGGCTAGCGAGCAATGTTTTCGGCTCTATGTTTGTGTTGTCGGAACCATTTTGGTTTTGTTTAGGGCTTGCATTTCTATTTATCATATTACTACTTGCCTCATTCGTCTCCTTCAACAGAATAGCATGATTTTTACTCTTCTCACATGTTGTAGATATGATGGACTTATAACTTTACCCAATGTATTCTTACAGTTACTATTATTGTTCGAGTCTTCTACAATATAGACTTGAAGGCGTGTAGCAAGGTCATCATTTATCATGTGCGAGGCAGTTATGAAATGATTGGGTAATACAAATTTAGTGTCCAATTTCACTGTAAAGTTTGAATTTCAAAAGAAAAAAGAGAATAATCACAATTCATAAAGACCTTAATTCATAGCCAACCATGAATTTTCTACCAAATCTTGATATTCATATGTTACCTACATTTTCTATCTCTTAATTTTTTTCGGGGATAGATCAGGTCAAAAGAAAATAGAGAATATAAAAGATATCTGAAAAGTGTATCATAATCAAGACTATATAGATTGGAGAATATTAATAATGTATGATGAAGTGAACCACTCATACCTTCTGCAATTTTTCTTGAGGAATATCGGAAAAGTGTACCATAATCAAGACTATATAGATTGGAGAATATTAATAATGTATGATGAACCGAACCACTCATACCTTCTGCAATTTTCCTTGCTTCCTCAATAATTTTGCATGCAACCTCTGAATGTAATGCATTAAATGGTACTTAGAATGCCTTGAGTACAACTCATTTTTTACTTCAGGGTTCTCCGAAAACCAGTTCACTATGTCAGATGGTTTAACAACCTCGTTTGTGTCCCATGATTCCAACCATGTATAAATTGGTCTCCAGTGATCTGTTCGCTGGAATAGAGGCTGAGGAGGTCCAACCTTAATAGGATCATTCATCTGCCATTAAGAAAATGTCAAACCACATAAACCTAGCAGCTCAGCTATTCATAAACAACTCCAGATTCAACACCCTGTCAATGACCTTGTATTTTCTTCATTACAATTCTTGTAATAAAAGGAATGATACTATTAATAAGAACAGCAACAAAAAAAACCCCATTACAGTGCCGATTCCTGTGTTGTCAAGAATGTGCTAATCCTCATTTAGCCAGCAACGGCATAAAAATACTAACCAGGACTTCATCCCTATAATTCTTATTACAGTGCAGAAACTTCACAATGTCGATATGGAATAACAAAATTAGGAAACAATGAGATCTTTGAGATGGCACCTGCCTCCAAAATAGAGGAGAAACTAAAGAGTTCCAGGAGTATAGTTCAAGTTACAATGTGACAAATTTGCAGAAAACCAAAAGAAATAAGGAGAGAAAAAACTAACTGTAACCAGTTTTGGCTCACGAATGAGCTTGTGGAGTGAAAGCACACGTTGATAGAGCTCAGATCGAGCCATGGTGAGAACATGATCAGGAAGAACTGATGCATTAGAGGAAACCCATTCCTCCACTTCGGAAAGCACTACATTGCGACGTTTTGGAAGAGTGGAGAGCCACGAACGAGCTCGCGCCTCCCATTCCTCTTCACCCTGAGCTTTCTCTAGAGTTAGGATCTCCGACATTGTTGCAACCGTAATGAAGCTCCCTATGAAAGCTTGGGGAGAGAAGGAGCATTTCTAGGGTTTCGAAACCCTGATTGATGGCAACCCTAGTTCTGCAATTTTGGAGAAAGGTGTGAGTTTGAAGCTTTGGACGCTCACGTCGGTTTTCTCGTTTGGGCTTTGAAGGCCGGGGAACGCCGAAACTTTTAATTGCGCCGAAATTTTTGCCATGTGATATTTCGGAAATTCGACTGCGCCGAAAGTTACTGGGCAGGCTAAGCTGAAACGTGCACAAAACGTTCATCCACCGTCAATTCAAACAACGAGCGGTAAATGTCACATTGTGTATGGACGTGGCATGATTAGGATAGAGTCATGTCTGTTAAACTGTTCATCTCCACCGTCCGTTGCATACATTTATGTGTGCAGCATTTGCTTTTAGTTAAGGTACAGTGGGGAGACGGATGAGATGTGCGGTTGTATACGTATGCCATCGGATCTGCCGTTCGCTCTCGAGATGAATAGTGGTGAACCGCAGCTTCTCTAATGTAGACCTAGGGTCAGCAATCGGCCAGCCAGCCCAAACTTGGACAAACTCAAAAATTCGGTCACGGACTATAAAATGCATACTTAGAAAGTCAGGGAAAATGTGAAAGGAATTCTTGTGTTTCCAATACAAGGGCCATTGAGCTGCTAACTATTAATAAATCATTGATGAATGATGATATAAATATGACATTACTCTTAGTGACCTTATTATAAGTGGAGTAGTATTCCTCATTCTAGATAAACCTCGCCTGAGACAAGGTCTCTTGAAATTTGATGTATAAATATGACATCACTCCCAGTGACTCACGATGCTTGTTTTAGTCCATAAAGGGCTTTTCTAAGTTTGCAAACTAGGTTCCATTTTCCTTTCTCTTTGGAAACCCTCTAAGTTGTTTCATGATATTTCTTATTCTAATTCCCCTTCAATATTGTTTTCACATCATGGACGTCAAAATCAAAATGGGCAGCTATCGCTTTTAGGATTTTAACGGATGGAAATTTTACAACAGGTGAAATAGTTTCATCATTGTCAATCCCTTCATTTGAGGCGAACACCTTGGCTAATAGTCTAGCCTTGTATTTTATCTAATTTTCTCTCTTAGTTCAGTTTCTTTTTGTATAACCGCTTGCACCCAATAGCCTTACGATTTTAAAGTAAAGACACTAACTCCCATACTTAGTTTTGGGTAAGGATTTATACTCATATTTTGTGGCTTCTACCCATTTGTTTTTTTTATGACAATTTTATGGCTTATTGGTATGTAGTAGGCTCATGATCTGGCTCATCCCCAACTCTCTCATAGTATTCCCCCAGGTAGGTGAAGAACTCTGGTAGTCTCTAATGTGGTTACTTCTCTTAAGTTGTGGTTCGGGTTCATGAGACATATTAGTCATGTCATAGAGATGGGATTGCTTAGGACTAGCTTTTTCTTCAAGGAACTCGTCCTCAAAGAAGTAGGCATCCCGACTTTTTATTACTACCTCATTCGCAATGTTGTAGAATCGACACCCTTACCATAATCAGGGTTGTCAATGAAGATACATTTGATAGTCTTGGAATTAAGTTTGGTCTTATTTTGGTATGGGATTAAGACATGGGCAAAATAGCCGCACACTCTTAAGCAATGGTTTAAAAAGCGGATCGGTGACCCAGATCGGGCACCTCCAAAACTGATCCGGATCGGCGAATCGACGATCCGGATCGAGAATCGGATGAATCAGTCAGAATAAAGCTTCAAAAAAATTTGAAAAAATTATTAAAATTCATTATAAATATTATTTTTTACGAATTCAATAAAAAATGAGGGTACTCCATTAAGAATTTTCATTTCTTTGCATGAATATGCGAATATTGATATGTTTTTTTCCTGCATGAACTACTATTTATCATTTAATTTACATCACACAGAAAGATAAACATAGAATTATCATGGAATAAGTATATCAACATACATGGATTACAATAAAGCATACAATTAGTAACATACGATCTAAAAGTAAAATGACAGACGACGTTGTTCTTCTTCTTGGTCACGCTGGTGCCATTGATTGAATTCGTTTAACAATTTATTGATTCGATCTAAAAACGAATCATCGATATTAGCAGGCGTTTGACTATATCCAAATCCCTGAGTATTAGTGTTCTGTTGTGTTCCCAGTCCAAAATCCCCGAAGCTTGTCTATCTTTCATGCTCACCTACATTGTCGTGCTCATCCCTATCATGTTGCTATTGGGACTCGATATGTGAATAATATGGCTGGGATATGGTGGCCTCGGAATCATCATGTCTCTCATTTTCCCTTAAACCCCCTTCCCACTCTCCCTTATTAGGTGCAATATCACCGACATCTCCGACGAATTGTGGATACGTTGGCTGACTGCTTTCTCTTTCATGCTGCTCATCACCTTCTTCAAGATCTTCCTCACCGATAGCCTCAAGGAACGCTCTCTTGTGCAACACTGGCTCCTCCTCTTCTACTACCCATTGGTCTGCTATGT